TATTTGGTTTTAAATATACTTAAGTATCAAAAGTAAATGTAACTGCAAAAATATACTTAAGTATCAAAAGTAAAAGTATAAATCATTTCAAATTGCTTATATTAAGCCAACCAAATGACACAATGTTCTTGTTTTTTTATCTACAGATAGCCAGGGGCACACTCCAACACTCAGACATCATTTACAAATGAAGCATGTGTGTTTAGTGAGTCCACCAGATCGGAGGCAGTAGGGATGACCAGGGATGTTCTCTTGATAAGTGTGAATTGGACCATTTTCCTGTCCTGCTAAGCATTCAAAATGAGTACTTTTGGGTGTCAGGGAAAATGTATGGTGCAAAAGTACATTATTTTCTTTAGGAATGTAGTAAAAGTAAAAGTTGTCAAAAATATAAATAGTAAAGTAAAGTACAGATACCAAAAAAAACTACTTAAGTAGTACTTTAAAGTATTTTTACTGAAGTACTTTACACCCCTGGATTTTGGAATGCGATGTTCGACAAACAGGTGTCCACATACTTTTGGTCATGTGGACACAGGAGCTAATCGGATAGCATAAACACATCTTAAGGTTGTTTAGGCCAACACTTTCACACTCCTAATGAGATGCGTTTGCTCTCACTCTTTCTATGTCGGACATATTTATAATACACTAAGGGGAGGAAGGAGGAAGCATTGAATGTTTGTCAAGATATACAGTAGCCTATTGTAACTCATTTAACTTACTCTCATATCATGACATTATATTCTTACTTTTTTGTATGACTTAGAGTAACTTTCATGAATAAAACCAGATATTTTGGCCTTAGTTATAGTGAAACACGTCAATTCTGGTCTTCATTTTGACAGTTCGTTGCAAAAGTGAATCTAGCTCTTTTTGCCTTTAGCGGTTCAACTCTACCATTGAAATCGTGTGGTGCCTCTAAGTCATATCAAGGGAGGGGTTCGGTATGAAATACACTCCCTTCTACATGTGCTGGATGGTACCACCTGAAGGCTTACTATAAAAGCCAGTGACAGCGCACCTTATTTGTAGTGATGGGCATTCCGAGTCTTTTCAGTGAGCCGGCTCAATTGGCTCCGTTCAGTTAAAAGGGCCATTAATTTGGCTCCCAAACGGCTCTTCGTTCAGTAGCGCTTAAAAATACCTACAACCATGAAACAATTGCACATCTCTAATGTAAAGCCTACAGTTGCCTGCCATTATGTCAGATCGTGACATGTGAGTTCAAATACATTTTGACATTACCACATTATTAGATGACCTGAAAAGAAATGAAGGAAAAACATGAACTCACTGCAAAAATGTCTGTGGACCAGAAAAAGTATCTCTCCTCACTATCTATTGTTCCTGCAGATAGTAATTACAATTTTCAGAGAGCCCAGTAGTAGGCTAAAAATATGCAAATCAGGGGACCAAATGAACGGCTCTTTCACTGATGCGATTCGGTTACCGACGTTCACCAAAAAGAGCTGCTCAAAAAGAGCAGTTAGTTCACAAACGACCCATCATTACTTATTTGGCAATGGTCTTGGTAAGTGGAGTGTGACAATATATTTAGCATGATGCTTCCTTGACTAGACTACTGACGTTACACAAAATTCAAAAGGGAGTGTAAGACACATTCCAGCATATGACCAAATTCAATGTTTTTGCTTTAATATTAGGAAGGTGTTCTTAATGTTTTGTACACTCAGTGTACGTTTATATTCGTAGCTACATCCATAGTAAAAAAAAGATGATGACAATGGTGGTCATGTCAACTCGTATTTTTTCCCAACCGGCATCACTGATTGGTGGTGCAGACCATTAAGACAGTTGGCTTGTAGTTCAATGGTTGTGTTCTTTCTAATACCAGATAGGGCAAAAAAAAAAATAATTTACAATATTCATCCTGTTCTAATTCTGAAAAGTGAAAGAATACCTGTGAGCAGGGTCGCCCTGGCTGTGGTTGTAGGTTTTTATACAGTACCCAAGACCAATCTGTGAGTTAATTTGACCATTGGAAAAATATCATAATTTTCAAAGTGATGATTGCACTTTTCTTCCCAACACAATACTGCAATAAATGTGACTCCACTTTCAAATATTTGTTTTAAGCCGATGGGGTATTCAAACTTACACCACAAGTGGCAATAGATGTCAGGAACTCACCGTCTTACCACTGTGTGCTAATTGTTCAAAGCCATATCTGCTCACAATACATATAATTGTATTATCAGAGCATGCCAGTCGACTTCTGGTAAGTATGCTTTAGTGAGAAAGTGTTGGGATCAGGTACACCTACATTTACCCAACATTTATGAGCAATTCCCCCACCCACAATTCTCACCTGAATGCATTTTTATTTTATTTTAAGGGGTTGGGCAAAGGCTGAAATTGGGGTTGAGAGTTACCCTTTAACTGTATATAATGAGTTTAACTAAACCCTTAGTTCCCATCGAATGTTGTTCCTGACCTTACAAAAATATGCTTGCCAATAGAACAGAGGTTATTGTCCTTCACAAAATGAATACAATAACCTCATAATATTGAGATATTCCCCACATCCTTAGATATAATTTGTATCTCACCTGCTGGCTGTGTAATTATGTGGGAATAAACTAAATTACAAAACCTTAAGGAAGTCTTGAGACAAAAGTGAATGGTCTTATAGTAAGACTTCTGTGTAAAAGGAAACCTACTCAAAACAGAGGCTTCCTAGACTCTGACTCAAGCTCCACATCCATATGCTCGTCCCTTCCATTGAAGCCCTGTAACCACTTCCCCTGCAGTGCATTCATCAGGTCAAGTCAAAGGCCCACTATCTGATATCCAACAACATAGTTGGCACAATGACGGGATCCAAAGGCCGTCAGCCAAAGCTGTTGACTATTGAGACTGACCTGCTAAAAATCCTATATCATACAATAACACACATGGTCTACAAATGATATTGCGGTTAATGCTGTCAGACAGACGGACGGACACACACACAGGGAAAGTGAAAGTCAAGGAAGTCACTGACAGTTCCCACTGTGATTACCTCATGTCAGTACTGCTTGGTAAAAGGAAGGAGGAAAGCTAATCTCTGCTATATTTAGATAAAGAGAGGCTGCATGGTGAAATGTGTGCAACTGTGTTCAAAGTCGGTAAACATAACTTCCACCCAGAACGAACTTCAACCAGTGTTTCATCATCATGATATTGATATCTAAACTTCTGTAAGCAGGTTCACATGATATCATGCCTCATCTCTGAGGTCAATCACTAACACCAAGATTATTCCATGATAATGATATGATAATAATGAATTGATCTGGATACATTGCCAATGCCATGTTTTTCTGTGGCCTGATCGACAATAACTGTATACATGCAGTCCTTTTGACAAATCAATATCTGACGTCCTATAAGGAGGAAAGACTACAAATATATACAGTATATCCATGCTTTTCGGTGATCAACATTTACTTTTTACATGCATTCATTTTGACAAGTCAACATTGGTTGATGAGTTCATGTTGTGCTTCAATATATGCATGCTTGTGGACTGTGTACATGTGAGCACTGTGGGACCTGGCATGGACCTCTATGTTGCCTTCCGTTAGTGATGTGAATGACTTGAGGATATCCTGTTGTCATGGAGGGTCTCCTGCACCCACAGGTCGGGACATTCATAATGATGGGATCGAATGTGCTTCCTGTCGGCATTTTTCACGCCTCCGGCTCCATGGGGGGGGGGGGGCATCTGTGTGTGTGTTTGGTTAGGCTACATAGGCTACTGTATCAAAAACTGGTCGTTTGTGGAGTATCTGTAGATGCACAGTCTATCTTGGGTTTGGTGCTTCCGTTTTGACACACACATTAATCAACTGTATATTCCTAGGAAGGATTGTTGATCTTGTTTCGGTTTATTTCTCACAGTCTTCAAAGCACACCATGTGTGAAGCAGCTGAAACCGGTTGTGTAAGAGAGCATCAATTTACAGTGTGGGCAGAGGGCCTACAGTAATATCAGGAACATGTAATCCATTAAGAAAATAAAAAATAATGTTAATTTTGAGGGGTGCAGTCGTTCTTAAAGGGATAGTTCCCCAAATTACAAAATGACATATTGATTTCCTTGCCCTGTAAGCAGTCTATGGCCAAGGTATGACAGCAATCCATGCTTTGGTTTAGTTTCCCTGGCACTGTTTCCACATGCTAATGTTTTAGCATTTGTGACACAAATCCCATTCAAGTCATGGGACCGATATTAGCATTTTTCAAGCATCAATTTGTTCAAAACATCTTTAACTGACTTTGTAGTTATTCACAATGATTTGTTGATACCTTTGGATGATTTAGACATCATGCACGAAAATGGCTAATATTGGTCCCATGTTAAGCTGCTTTACAGCCCCTGCGGTTAGTTCACATTGGAAACAAACATTTGAAATGCAACATAAAAAAAACGAACTGGTGAAGTTGACTGAGTTATGATTTTTGTGTAGGTTAACTAAAGGAAACTTTGGCAGTCCTTTAAAAATTATGGCAGTGATTTGTTTCTCTGAAATATGATATTAGAGCACTGGCCAACACTGCAGGTCCTGAGTTGAGAAAACTTTAAAGAAGAGAGCAGTAAGTGAGCAGTGGACAGTGCAACGAGTGTCATCACGTCAGTCAGTTCGGGGAGGGCTTCTGGCCGTTTAAAATGGTGTGAATATGATAGCCATTAGCGTAGACAGCCAACGTTAGCAAGTGGACAGACTGGAGAGTATTTCAGGACCGTCTGCAACTACAAAAAGTGTAGTAATTTAAATGGGGGAAACCAACAAGAAAACTTACACTGGGCAGAAAAAAAACATATGGTGGAGTAATTAATCAAACCCGTTGGGAGGCTGGAGTGATACAGTGAGGATTTACTTGGATTTATTACCCAAAGAAAGAGAGGGAGGGAAAGAAAGAAAACTACCGAGAGAAAGTGACAGTTGGGGCCGTGGAGGTGAGTGAAGCGCTTACCATTGAGAGGGGTCAAAGATGACTGTTGTATCCCGTGAGAACCAGGACGAGACTGTGGTAGTTGCTCCCCTGTACCAAGATGATTGCGACGTGGAGCTGGGCGATCAGGAGTGTAGCGAGAGGGTCGTCATCAACATCTCCGGGCTGCGGTTCGAAACTCAACTGAAGACCCTCGCGCGCTTTCCCTCTACACTCTTGGGAGACCCACGTAAAAGGATGCGCTTCTTCGATCCTTTGAGAAATGAGTACTTTTTCGACAGGAATAGACCCAGCTTTGATGCCATCCTTTATTATTACCAGTCTGGAGGAAGGCTTAGGAGACCTGTCAACGTTACCATGGACATTTTCATGGAAGAAATAACATTTTATGAAATCGAAGAGGAGGCCATAGAGATGTTCAAAGAAGATGAAGGTATGATCAGAGAGGTGGAACGTCCGATGCCTGACAACGAGTTTCAGCGCCACATGTGGTTGTTGTTTGAGTACCCGGAGAGCTCGGGGCCTGCCCGGATGATCGCTGTTGTATCAGTCAGTGTGATTTTGATATCCATAGTGATCTTCTGTTTGGAGACTTTGCCACGGTTCAGGGAAGATCACAGCACAGACCTACAACTCAGTAATCACCTCACCAAGAATGGGACTACTCAACACAAAAAAACCAATCTGTTGACAGACCCGTTTTTCATAGTTGAGTCACTTTGCATCGTGTGGTTTTCCTTTGAATTTCTCATGAGGTTTTTATCGTGCCCCAGCAAACCGGGTTTCTTCAAAAACGCCATGAACGTCATCGACATCTTAGCGATTGCTCCTTATTTCATCACCCTTGGCCTTGACCTCGCAGAGCTACAGGGACCGGGAAGCGAGCAGGCCACGTCGTTAGCCATACTCAGAGTCATCCGTTTGGTTCGAGTCTTCAGGATTTTCAAACTTTCCAGGCACTCCAAGGGTCTCCAAATCTTGGGTCAGACACTCAACGCCAGCATCAGCGAACTAGGGCTTTTGATATTCTTTCTTCTCATAGGGGTTATTCTGTTCTCCAGCGCCGCTTACTTTGCAGAGGCAGACGACCCTGAATCGGGATTCACGAGTATCCCCGCCGCATTTTGGTGGGCGGTGGTGTCCATGACTACGGTTGGATATGGAGACATGTGCCCAGTTACTATTGGCGGCAAAATAGTGGGATCTTTGTGTGCCATCGCCGGAGTGCTGACCATAGCCCTACCTGTCCCTGTCATCGTTTCCAATTTTAATTACTTCTATCACAGAGAACGTAATGATGCGGAAACCGCCGTGTATACCCACGTGACTTGTGGTCAACAGAACGCTTCATTTGGGGAATTCAAATCGACCAGCGACAGCAAACAGTCCCTCGCCAAATCAGAGTACATTGAAGATGATTCTTTCGAGACTATCAGATTTACTAACTTCAGCCCATTTGAACATTACACTGGCAAGCTGACGGATGTATGAAAAAACAAGCATCTGCCTAGCTGAGCAGAAAAACCTATCTCGGTGAGTAGCCAGCCTGAGTACATTTACGCGCGCTTTTACGCAATATCTCTTTTACTCTCAATAGTTTGAATTAATTTGTTGGATACCTTCAGTTGGCCTATAGCTTCATCACAGTCAGTGTCCGGCCTATGTGTATGTTTGAATAATTACGCGCGGTTTTACGCACGCTATTACGCACAGTGTTTGTTGACATATCATCTTAAAATAGCTGGAATTAATTTGTTTGACAGCTTCAATAGGCCTAAAACTGTATTACAGGTCAATAGCATACAGTGTTCAGTGGCCACAACAACTTTTAAAACTGGGTTGCTTTTGGATAGTTTATAGAATTTCTGAACTCGGAGCGCCACTGTGTGGTTGAAACGCAGTCGTGCAGCAGATGCTTCTCAGGTAAAACATTCAAACAGCTATTTCCGTTATCTGAACAGTGTGCAAGACGTTGCTGATTATCAAGTGTGTGCGTTGTTTACTTATGACTGTGCATAAATTGTCCCTAAAAACGTGTTAGTGACATTTTGGACAGAAGTGATGGAATGTCACCATACAAAAAAAAAAACATTCTCGTCTTTTTACTTCCAGGTCAAAGACCATTGCCTTTCTGCTCCAGTTGAAACGAAATGCAGGCTTATTCCAGATATACTTGTAACTTGAAAAAGTGAAGATAGAGAACAAAAAAACGCACATGACATGTCTCCATGAACTATTGGCCAGCAATGTGAGATTACAGGTGCTGCTACATCATCCAATGGAGAGCTCTGCATTTAGGAAACGGATCATCTTTGAAAATCAATGAACCTTTCAAAGTATTTTGCAATGTATTCAATGAACTCTGAAAGAACTACTGTAGATATCCTGTCGTGTATTGTTGTAAATAGGCCTGTATTGTAAATTCGATCCTTGTGCTCAGCTCAGAATCTTAATGCGAACATATCTTGCTCTGTGTGCCTTTATGTGGATGATTTCAAAGGAACTATTTGTGTAGTCCTTTATTTTATTTAACTATTTATTGTACAGAAATTCCGATTTTGCTAGAAACGTTTCTTGGGAAGCTAGTTTTAAAATAACTTACCCATAGGAATCTTATTAAGTCTGCATGTAAGGAGACATCAATTGTGCTAAAAAAATGTCATGAAGATATATTTCTATTTTTGTAAGATTGTAAAAATGTATGTGAACTTTTGAACAATATTTTTTAATAAATGCCTATTATTTTTCAGAAAAGACTTCAATGTGTCCTTTATTGTTATTGTTCTGGGTGGACCTTTACACACAGTGGCAATGAGGCCCTTTATCTACACTGAACAAAAATATAAACGCAAAATGCAACAATTTCTAAGATTTTACTGAGTTACAGTTAATATTTTTTATATTATTTCTATTTAACCTTTAGTTAACTAGGCAAGTCAGTTAAGAACACATTCTTATGTACAATGACGGCCTACCAAAAGGCAAAAGGCCTCCTGCAGGGACGGGGGCTGGGATTAAAATATAAATAAATATATATATATAAATATAGGACCAAACACACATCACAACAAGAGAGACAACACAACACTACATAAAGAGAGACCTAAGACAACAGCATAGCATGGCAGCAACTTACGACAACACAGAAAGGTAGCAACCCAACATGAAAACAACATGGTAGCAATATATAAGGAAATCAGTCAATTTATATAAATTCATTAGGCCCTAATCTATGGATTTCACATGACTGGTCACAGATACCTTTAAAAAAAGGTAGGGGCGTGGATCAGAAAACCAGTCAGTATCTGGTGTGACCACCATTTGCCTCATGCAGCGTGACAAAGCTGCTTCACATATAGTTGATTGTGGCCTGTGGAATGTTGTCCCACTCCTCTTCAATAGCTTTGTGAAGTTTCTAGATATTGGCGGGAACTGGAGCGCGCTGTCGTACACGTCGATTCAGAGCATCCCAAATCTGCTCAATGGGTGACATGTCTGTTGAGTATGCAGGCCATGGAAGCACTGGGACATTTTCAGCTTCCAGGAATTGAGTACAGATCCTTGCGACATGGGGCTGTGCATTATCATACTGAAACATAAGGTGATGGCGGCGGATGAATGGCACAACATTGGGCCTCAGGATCTGATCTCTGTGCATTCAAATTGCCATTGATAAAATACAAGTGTGTTCGTTGTCCGTAGCTTATGCCTGCCTGCCTGCCCAAACCACAACCCCACCGCCTCCATGGGGCACTCTGTTCACAACGTTGACATCAGCAAACCGCACGCCCAAGCGACGCCATGCACGTTAATCCGTGAAGAGCACACTTCTCCAGCGTGCCAGCGGCCATCGAAGGTGAGCGTTTGCCCACTGAAGTCAGTTACGACGCCGAACTGCAGTCAAGTCAAGACCCTGGTGGGAACGACGAGCATGCAGATGAGCTTCCCTGAGACGGTTTCCGACAGTTTGTACAGAAATTCTTCGGATGTGCAAACCCACAGTTTCATCAGCTGTCCAAGTGGCTGGTCTCAGACGACCCTGCAGGTGAAGTAGCCGGATGTGGAGGTCCTGGGATGGCGTGGTTACATGTGGTCTGCGGCTGTGAGGCCGGTTGGATGTACTGACAAATTCTCTAAAATGACGTTGGAGGCAGCTTATGGTAGAGAAATAAACATTAAATTCTCTGGCAACAGCTCTGGTGGACATTCCCGCAGTCAGCATGGCAATTGCACTCTCAAAACTTGAGACATCTGTGGCATTGTGTTGTGTGACAACATTTTAGAGTGGCCTTTTATTGTCCCCAGCACAAGGTGCACCTGTGTAATGATTATGCTATTTAATCAGTTCTTGATATGCCACACCTGTCAGGTGGATGGATTATCTTGGGAGAAGAGAAATGCTTACTAATAGGGATGTAAACAAATTTGTGCACAAAATCTTTTATTTCAGCTCATATATTTATATTATGTTCAGTGTACTTCCCCAGAGTCAGATGAACTCGTGGATACCAGTTTTATGTCTCTACGTGTAGTTTGAAGGAAGTTGCTAACTAGCGTTAGCAAAATTGAGTTTGAATACATTTTTATTTTTACAGGGACATTGCACATTAATCAACGTTTCAGTAAAAGTGCCGGTTTTAGCCAGCCGGGTAATTTTAAACTGCAGTCCCTGGGCAGGTTATTAAAAACAATTACAATAACAATACAGACAAACAATTAGCAGTGAGCACATGCAGAGCAACATAGAACAAGCAGACAGAGCAATAGCACAAAAAGCAACAAAACACAATACAGTGCCTTCGGAAAGTATTCAGACCCCTTTACCTTTTCCACATTTTGTTATGTTACAGCCTTATTCTAAAATTGATTTTAAAATATTATAATCAGCAATCTGCACACAATACCCCATAATGGAATGCGAAAAGAGGTTTGCAGAACATTTTGCAAATTTATTTAAAGTAAAAAAACAGAAATACCTTATTTACATTAGTATTCAGACCCTTTACTATGAGACTCGAAATTGCGCTCATGTGCATCCTGTTTCCATTGATCATCCTTGAGATGTTTCTACAACTTGATTGGAGTCCACCTGTGGTAAATTCAATTGATTGGACATGATTTGGAAAGGCACACACCTGTCTATAGAAGGTCCCACAGTTGACAGTGCACATCAGAGCAAAAACCAAGCCACGAGGTCGAAGGAATTGTCCGTAGAGCTCCGAGACAGGATTGTGTTGAGGCACAGATCTGGGGAAGGGTACCAAAACATTTCTGCAGCATTGAAGGTCCCCAAGAACACAGTGGCCTCTATCATTCTTAAATGGAAGAAGTTTGGAACCACTCTTCCTAGAGCTGGCCGCCCGGCCAAACTGCGCAATTGGGAGAGAAGGGCCTTGGTCAGGTAGGTGACCAAGAACCCAATGGTCACTCTGACAGAGCTCTAGAGTTCCTCTGTGGAGATGGGAGAACCTTCCAGAAGGACAACCATCTCTGCAGCACTCCACCAATTAGTCCTTTATGGCAGAGTGGCCAGACGGAACCACTCCTCAGTAAAAGGCACATGACAGCCCGCTTGGAGTTTGCAAAAAGGCACCTAAAGACTCAGACCATGACAAGCAAAATTCTCTGGTCTGATGAAACCAGGATTGAACTCTTTGACATGAATGCCAAGCATCACTTCTGGAGGAAACCTGGCACCATCCCTACGGTGAAGCATGGTGGTGGCAGCATCATGCTGTGGGGATGTTTTTCAGCGGCAGGGACTGGGAGACCAGTCAGGATCGAGGGAAAGATGAACGGAGCAAAGTAGAGAGAGATCCTTGATGAAAACCTGCTCCAGAGCGCCCAGGACCTCAGACTGGGGTGAAGGTTCACCTTCCAACAGGACAACGACCCTAAGCTCACAGCCAAGACAATGCAGGAGTGGCTTCGGGGACAAGTCTCTGAAAGTCCTTGAGTGGCCCAGCCAGAGCCCGGACTTGAACCCGATCAAACATCTCTGGAGAGACCTGAAAATAGCCGTGCAGCAACGCTCCCCAACCAACCTGACAGAACTTGAGAGGATCTGCAGAGAAGAATGGGAGAAACTCCCCAAATACAGGTGTGCCAAGCTTGTAGCGTCATACCCAAGAAGACTCGAGGCTGTAATCGCTGCCAAATGTAAAGGGTCTGAATACATTTACATTTAAGTCATTTAGCAGACGCTCTTATCCTGAGCGACTTACAAATTTGTGCATTCAACTTATGATAGACAGTGGGACAACCACCCAATTTTATATTTTATTGTTTGTTTTTTAGTTTTGTTTTTTAAATTGGTGGGTGGGGGAGAGGGGGGGGGGGGTAGAGGCATTACTTTTATACTATTCCAGGTATTCGTTAAAGAGGTAGGGTTTCAAGTGTCTCCGGATGGTGGTCAGTGACTCTGCTGTCCTGGCGTTGTGGGGGAGCTTGTTCCACCATTGGGGTGCCAGAGCAGCGAATAGTTTTGACTGAAATATATTTTGATTTAACACTTTTTTGGTTACTACATGATTTCATAGTTTTGATGTCTTCACTATTATTCTACAATGTAGAAAATAGTAAAAATAAAGAAAAACCCTTGAATGAGTAGGTTTTCTAAAACTTTTGACTGGTAGTGTATATATATATATATATATATATATATATATATATAATGTTTTTTTATTCACATCCATAAAAAGTCCCCTACTTTTCAAAAGTAATGAAAATATATGTTATTGTTTGTTTAAGCCTATTAGACCATTTTAAAAACACATAGCAAAGGACAATTTCATGAATAGAACATTTATTTCCATTGTGTTCTATAAAACAAGTGAACAGGTATAGCTTATCCCAAATGATCAGACACCGCCTTACGATCACTCATGCAGCCCTTCTAAAAAAAAAGTCATCTCACTTCATTGCCTTTGAAAAGCCGCCTGTCCTTGAATGAACTCAGTGCAGCTTGATGCAAATCAATCTTAAAACAGTAACCTGCGTGTTTCGTCCTATCGATTAGACTGACAGGACCAACACCAACAGAACGTTGCACCATGCCGGAGGAAGGGCAGGGGGTGGAATGTCAGGAGGATAATGATCGAGCGGTCTGTTCTGAGACGCGGTGCTCGCGACCGCTGTCCATGGTGCTGAAGCAAGCCACTCCTTGTTGTGCTGAAACGGTCTGCACCGCGGCCGCTCTTTCCGGCCATTGGCCACTCACAGAATTGAGCGGAGTTAGAATATGAACAGCTGAGTGTTGTAATGTAAACTGTATGAAGTAATGACTGTGCCAAGTTAGACTACTCTGTCTCAGCCATATAATATTACTTTATAAGTAGCCTATCATTAATATTAGGACCATTGTTGAGTGTTTGGGAAATAATGATTAAGATACCGGCTCATCACCCTCCAGCGGAGCAGATATTGCACCAGTGCTGGCACACACAAATGCTCTTGTTTTTGTGCTGTAGAGAGCACTCGTGGCAGTATAGCCACTCTGCATTGCGTCGAACACCCCTACTCCCCCCCCCCCCTCCCCCCCTCTCTCTCTCTCTCTCTCTCGCTCTCTCACCGCTTCCCTCTATCTTCTCCTCCACTCTCATTGCATGTGAAATACCTAAGAACAATATACTGAACATTATTAAGAAATTATTATATCTTCACATAATCGATTCCTCCCTCTGTGCCGGATCGAGGATAATTGTTTTTATAGAATGCCCCTCATCTTGTCTACTCGTAACAGGACATTTCTGCTGATGCGGTAATGTCTGGAAATGGCAAGGGTTCGCTTATTGCCCCTTAATGTATCCCCCTCCCTGAATTGCAGCATAATAATTTATCCTGCTCTATAAGCCATTCACACCGAAGTGCCCAACCGCACAAGCGGCTACAGGCTACAGAAGTTGCGGCTTACAGTTCGTTTTTCTCTCTTTTCCCATCTTCACGTTTCTCTGACTCCAGCGTGATTTTATATCGAATGTCAAGAGACGGGATCAAGATGTAGACCAATAAGACACTTAAGTTATCCGATACGAATAGCTCAGACAGTGATGTCTTTAGTGTTTTAGTCTATACCATGGCCTGCACAGCGGAAAGCTCCAATGTGTTGCGGTGGGGTGCGTTGTGAAGTGTTAATGTATTAACACATGCCAACAAAGCTACGGCAGTCCTGGCTGTCCTAGCCGTTGGATGACTGTGCTGAGTCGTGGACAAGACGCATTCCTTCAGGATTCCTTCAAGATCATCCTGAGGTAAGCCTTGAAACGTGTGCACTCTGTCTGTCTGTCATTTATAGGGGTCGGGGGAATCCTTCCAATGCTATTGTTATAATATTACTATTATTTAGTGACTGTGACAGTAAATTGGTATTGTTTTCTATGACTTTTAGTGCATTTAACGCTGAATTATTTGCGTGAGGCAGCCTATAGGCCTAGGCAAGTTTCAAACAGTGTAATGCGACAAAACATGCATAAAAATGTAATAAGATAACATTTATATATATATATATATATATATATATATATATTTGCTATATAGGCTATATATAACAATTACCCTGTCAATTATAATATGCATATTCGATTGCTTTATGTCTAGATTATCACCAATAAAACAATATAATTTGCCCCTTTAGACGCTGATAAATAGACAGGAAATATAGCCTAGAGGCTAAATAAATAAATAACTGGCAGAAATTGCTGAGCTAGCAAATATCTCTGCTGTTCCTTCAATCCATTATTTTCTTGTTTTTCTCTGACTGGGTAACAGAGGCAGCAGCAGCAGATGCAGCGGAGAGCAGCAATGGTCGAGTCAGCGAGAACAGCAGTGGAGCCGCACTGAGGCAAAGCAAGCTAGCCCCTTATCTGGGGACTAGGACAACACATAGGGGGAGAAGAAGAAGAGAAATTGAGAAGGAAATTGTATCAACCCAAAACCTGAATGCCGCCTGTTCAATCAGATTAACCGGATAACCGGAATTCCAAAAGTCCTTGGACCTACAAGATGACCGTAGTGGCAGGAGATAACATGGAAGAGACTGCAGCCGTACCGGGGCACCCGCAGGACACATACCCTCCCGACCATGAAGACCACGACTGCTGCGAGAGGGTGGTCATCAACATAGCGGGGATGCGGTTCGAGACGCAGCTCAAAACTCTCTCCCAGTTCCCCGAGACATTGCTAGGCAACCCCAAGAAGAGGATGCGCTACTTTGACCACCTGAGAAACGAGTATTTCTTTGACAGAAACCGTCCCAGTTTCGATGCCATCCTCTACTATTACCAGTCCGGGGGTAGGCTGAGAAGGCCCGTCAACGTCCCGTTGGATATGTTCTCGGAAGAGATAAAGTTTTATGAGTTGGGAGTGGATGCCATGGAGAAATTCCGTGAGGATGAGGGCTTCGTCAGGGAGGAAGAACGTCCTTTACCTGAGAAGGAGTTCCAGCGTCAGATCTGGCTGCTTTTTGAACACCCAGAGAGCTCGGGTCCAGCCAGAGGGATTGCTATAGTATCTGTAATGGTAATTCTGATTTCCATAGTCATATTTTGTTTAGAGACTTTACCCGATTTGAAAGAAGACCCTAGGGGTCGGTTTAAGACTGTAGGGAACCATACCTTTTACTACAAACCAAACATCCTAACCGACCCTTTCTTCATTATTGAAACTCTTTGCATTATCTGGTTCTCGTTTGAGTTGTTAGTGCGTTTTTTCGCGTGTCCAAGCAAGGCAGTCTTCTCCAAAAACATGATGAACATCATCGATATAGTGGCCATCATCCCTTACTTCATCACACTGGGCACGGAGCTGGCTGAGGACCCCGAAGACCAGGACGAGGGCATGGGGGAGCAGGCAACATCTCTGGCCATCCTCAGGGTAATCCGTCTGGTCAGAGTGTTTAGAATCTTTAAGCTGTCACGACACTCCAAAGGATTGCAGATCCTGGGACAGACCCTCAAGGCCAGTATGCGCGAGCTCGGATTGCTGATCTTCTTCCTTTTCATCGGAGTCATCCTCTTCTCCAGCGCGGTGTACTTCGCAGAGGCCGAGGAGAAAGGGTCGTACTTCGGCAGCATACCGGAAGCTTTCTGGTGGGCCGTGGTGTCTATGACAACTGTGGGCTATGGGGATATGGTGCCTGTCACTATAGGGGGCAAGATAGTGGGTTCCCTTTGCGCCATTGCTGGTGTGTTGACGATTGCACTTCCAGTGCCTGTCATTGTGTCCAACTTCAACTACTTCTACCATAGGGAGACCGAGGGAGAGGAGCAGGCTCAACTCTTAAACGTTAGTGAACCAAACATTAGTGAAAGCAACTCTAGTCGCCGCAGCTCGTCCGCTGTCAGCAAGTCAGAATACATGGAAATTGATGGAGACATTAATAATAGCATCGACAATTTTAGAGAGGCAAACCTCAGAACTGGCAATTGCACTCTAGCAAACCAAAACTGTGTAAATAAAAGCAAGCTGCTTACAGATGTGTAGAATCGAATGAGAAAACATGGGACTTAGATGATGCCGTCACACGTTGAGTACACCATCCGTTTTGAATGCTTTATTCGCCTCCTATAAGCGCTCTAGCATTACGACAACAACCATGCTCACCAATTTGAAAGGAATTATTTTAAAGGAAGAAAAAAAGAAAATTCAGCTGTTACTAGAGAATACGACATATAGAGTAATTACTTATTTTAAAATGATCCTTCAAATGCGTATATATATAAAATAAAATTAAATACATAAACTTCTATTTAACACGCATACGGGAAGCGCGACTAACCAACAGCACTTACGAGGACATATCTGTTTTTATCAGCCAAAGCCAGACGTGATAATTAAAACGTTATGCATCCATACAGATAACAACATTTCAGCAAGTGCACACTGCATCAAGGATAAAATGCATCAGAAAACACCATCTGCTGCAAAGAGAGTGCCAGCATCTGCAGCACCCAGTCAGTGGTCGGACCAACCGACACCTGGCCTGAAGTCCGAGGCGACTCCTCTACCCCTCTGTCATCAAAGGATCTACTATACAGCAAAGCACCTTATCGGAAAAATACTGATAGCTGAGGATCACTGATCTTCTGGTTTGGATGTTAAAAAGAGGCTGATGATCTACTCGCCTCAGTCTGCTAGACCTGCGGACATCTGCAATGCTGCTATTTTCCAGCAGTTAAATGCTGTAATTACGATATCACCAAGTGATTCAATGACATTTTTGCCCGTTGGATGCAAGACAGCACAATGATATAACAGAAGAGCTTCACATGAGCATGTTCAGAAGAGACTCCCCATACATTTTGATATTGGCATGTGTGATGATGAGACGTAACCTTATAATAATGCTAAAAATATATTTATTTAGGAATATTTCCATCCCCCTATGCCTTCATTCGAGTCCCATTCGTTTTCACTTAGAGTGCAGCACTGGTTTTAAATCGTTTTTGATTTGAAAATTCCTAATTATTTACAAGTATTTAGCGAGTGAATGTTAAAACATCTTAAGGGAAACAGTAACTAAACGAAGATCATAGCATGAGAAAAAGTAACCTGCATTATGGCCTATCGACTAAGGTACTGTGTATCCTAGTACATCTAAATGCATGACGTCAGTATTCAGCTTGTTGCAATTACAGACACTCTGAAAAGTGTCTCATACTGTTATGGAAACGAAACGTGGGAACTTAGAAAAATCTCTGAACCATTAATGAAATGTGACAAAATATATAAAAAACCCAACTCGGGGATGCTGACTTTCTAATTTAAAACGTAGTAGATCAAAGAAGCAGAAGAAATACTTATTATCAAAACGCATATACTCATAAAGCACCAAGTTACAGTATTACTTCAATAGTGCAGTGCATGGACCATCTTTGAACATAGAAAAAGTAAACGTATTATGAGTCATGCCTTCCATTTCACCACTAAATGTAGGGATATGTTTGTTGGTTTTCACAAACAAAACAACAGAAACAAGTCTTATTTTCCTGAAATTAGCCTTTGTTTAATAGATATTGCAAATAATAATTGTGTACATTAGTTGCTAGTGCCTTTACCCCTCTCACCATGCAACAGGCTCAGTGAAAGTGCCTCTGTGTATGTAGCCTACAATGGAAATCCATGACAAGTTGAACAGATCAGGTGCAAAAGATCTCACTTGCTTCAGCACTATTATGCTGTTATTATTGTTGTTGTTGAGGAGGATGATGATTGATTATTCTGATAATTATTAATACAGTGAGAGAATGTTTGGTGAAAACAATCATGGAAGTGCACTACCAAACATGATCCATAGTTGAGTTGACCCAAGACTCTAGAACAATATTCCAACAACCACCCTCTAGTACTTGATGCTTCTCCACCCATGCACCACATTAAATCAAAAGGGAATATCATTGCTTTGCTTTGCTTTGTGTTGCTGTTGCTATTGATTTATGTGCCATAAGTCTTTTAAATGTGTCTACCTCAGTGAGGTCACTACAGAACTCACTGCAGAGCTGCAAGCCAGGCTATTCTTCGATGCAAAGCAGAGTTTCCTTCTTCCACAACATGCAAAATGGCCTCTAAGTGGAGTAGACTGTGGTCATCAGGGCCTGTGTTTATGGCCTCGGAGTGCTGAGTGCTGATCTAGGATTAGGTCCTCCCCTGTCCATGTAATCTTATTCATTATGATCTAAAAGGCACATTTGATCCTAGATCTGTACTCCTACTCCGAGAAGCTTTATGAATACAGGCCCTGATGTTAAACTCTTAGATTGGCCCCCAAAAGTAGCCTTAGAGAAGCACTTAGGTCTTAGGACATAATGTAACAACCACCCTTACCCCTATCCCCTTTTCCTTCCAAGCTACGCACAATCAAAAAAGAAAATAAACACATTATTATAGTAGTAGAGTAGACTAGAGCATAGTGATGTAGACTGACTGATTCTCGAGAAATGTTGATACAAATGGTTTGGTTTGGATTCTTTGGTGTTACAGTTGTTGAGAAGTAATGCAGGTTTGCTACTATTAAATCATAGAAATAGCATGGGCAATTATATCTGTGAATGTCTGAAAGTGTGACACACTTCATTGATATGTGCATTAATAGAAATATAATTACTCAAATTCATCACAGAACATTGACTTGAATGGGAATGTCCATTCCAGTAATTCCATTTCTAAGTGTGTATCAGTCACAGAACGACAATGGAGTAGCCAGGGAGTCTTATATTTTTAGCAGATTGGAATTTCGCTCTGGGCAATATAAGTGCATTATTAGATGCTACACCGTTTTTGCTGGTTCCATTTGCTCAATAGCTACATGTATTTATTTCATAATAGAGTCTTCCAGCTCTCAGCGAAGCTTACTGATGCAATGTGAATATTGTTTCGTTATTGCAGCAAAATTTGGGCTGTAGTGTGTGAAATGACTAGATTATTTATGTTATTATGGTAGCGACCCTAGAAACATTTGTGACCCTGAAGTTGAGGGGTTATACACAAGACAGATGTAATGACACCACACATAAACATAGCTAAAGATTCAATGGCCCTCTTGAGGGTATGTCATTTGGTGAAAAGTACTGTATCATGTTTCCTTTCTCTTTTTCCACTGGCCTTTACTGTATGTATACCGCCTCAAATTCAGTGTTACTAAAATGTCTCAGCTAGTGAACCATTTGCTTTCATCAGTTTGTGCAAAGGCTTTACCTTTTGTGGACTAGCAGAAAGCCACAATGTGCACATTGTTTATGGACGAGGCCTTTTTTGATTCTGTGAATCTAGTTGCTGGTTGTTTTGGGCTATGCGTTATCGGCTATGTTCTCTTTATTTGCTCATGGTCGTTCTACTGTTTTGCTGGGGAACTTAGTAGTCTGTCTGCTACAGGTCTGGTGTCTGTCTATCCGAGAGCCTTCCTAGATGTCAGTTCATTTGACATCATGAGGTAAATATGTCAGTGGAGTTGACATATGAGTGCAAAAAAAGTGTTACTTCTGTGTCAGGGATTTTCAAGGCTTCTAACCAAGAGAATGTCATCAGGTCTTAAGAGCAGACATATAGAATACCCCAAAATACAACAAATACAAAATGATTATCCACAGCAACATTATCTATACCATGTACAGTAGCTAGCTGACCATCAGGTAAATTATATATTTTTTACCATATGTGGTTTCTCTTATGGCCCAGAAGTGTGGTTGGACAAAACAGGTCATATTCCACCAAATACCCATGATGCAACAGTTCAGAGTGAGGTTGAGGGAACACATGCAAAACCCCTCATGTCACGATACCAGTGCATCCATTGCTCTTGCTGTGAGGGCAATCTATGTATGGTGCTATGCATTCAATTATTCTACAAAAAAACAAACAATGCATTCTTATAGCAATAGAATTACAGTTACCTGTTTCTTAGAGACTTTTTTAAAATAGGAGTTGAATGAATCTATTTAAAAAAGATGTGAAGGAAAAATACCATCTCTTGACAAGACATTTACACCAGGGCTGTGTATGGTGTTTATTCTTTGATTTAGTTGTTAAGGTCAGTTTGGGGTCAAAGGTCAAAGTGTTCATCAGGGCAAACCATAGCAAAATGATTTAACACACTTTGCAACAGAAAACATAAACAAGCATTTCTTACTGGGAAAAAAGCAAGTTTCTTATTGGACAAGAAATTGGACAAGAAATGTATTCAATTTCTGAGTGTTTTATTCTATTTGGTGACTAATGAACACGACCCTGTCCTTACATTAAACAGATAACACCTATGAAGAAGCCAAATATAGGTATTGTACAGTGGCCATCCAATCCCCATAAAACTCATAGGTTGATCTGGAGTCGTTTTCTAGTTAGGAAACTATGTTGATAAATGGGGCAAAGTATCCAGTAGCACCCTCCCACAGGAATGAATAGCCTGTGATGCAATGCACTTACAGAATGCAAGCATCCACCCACTGCTGGATTGAATGGTTGTGTGTTTAGTGTGAATTTAGTGTGAAGGAGAGTCAGAGAAGGTGCCTATGTTGTTTTTTTACAAATTCTTTGCATTTATTTGAAATGTTTTCAGAGATATATGTTCTTCAAAATAAAGACATGAGTGAGAAGGTCTTTTAAAAAACATAATTCAGAGAAATTACATCAACACAAAAACAAAAGTATAAGTGAACCATACCTATCTAAAGAGTAGTAAGAACAAATGTAGCTATAGTAAAATAGAGTATAGCAAGCAAATATATATTGCAAAAGGTCAAAACCAATGATCAATAACTATCTTTTCATTGTGTCTTATTTTTTTGTTTTCTGTGGCACTATACTACGGTTGTCAGATTTTTTTAGGAAGAACATGCCATAATATACTCAAATATCAAATACGCTACAATAATGTGTTCATTTGGCAAGCCATGATGATTAAACTGAAGTAGCCTACTATTATCAATTTACTGTAGGCCCACATTTTAATGATATGGACTACAAACCACTATATTAGCATCACGATATAT